CTACAACCGAGTCAGGTGGTGTAGCGGTACACGTCATATCGGCTGAATCCCAGAATAACAGTGGAATGTCAAGGCGACGGCGGCATTCTCTACAAAGTCGTAACCTTATGTAGGAACAGCAGCTCCTTGAGGAAACTTTACCGTGTTCGTGCGACCGTAATCATACGTTGCTGAGTCATCTCCCTGTATCGTTGCAATCCTACCAGAATAGACGCCGCCAAGTGCTCGCAACGGCATCTGTAGTGAACTTGCTAAATTCACCGGATCGACGCAACTGATCTTCGTGCTTCCATCTGTCGTTTGTACGATAAGTTTTTTGTTTGCGACGTTGGCTAACGAGTTTGTCACTACGAGCATTTGTGTTTCGATGTTGTCTCCGCAATGGCTTGTAAACACCGCAGCAGAGTCCCATTGGATTCGATACTGGTCCGTATTACTGTCATCACTACGTAGAGCAGTCCAGACCACGAGCATTCCATGCGAATAATCAATCATCTTTGCCTTGACACAAAGAGATCGAGGAGCGAGCGGTGGACGAGTCACTAGCAGCCATCCATTGCCATTTGTTGCTTAGTAAAATGGTTCAAAGCCTATACTGTTGTTAGCAGCAAACCGTACATGGTAAGTCCCGGCAGCGAGGCCATCAATCATGTAAGCGAATGGGAGCCTCCCAACATGAAGCTGAGCTCGTCACTTCCGTTATTCCCTGAATGTGACGCCAACAGCAGTTGTGCTCGTAGCAACAAACGGTGGCATGTGGCCTTGTGCCGACACAAACTCAATTGTCAGCCCTTTAGTCGTCGCACTCGCAGAGCAAACCGTTGTCTGCGCTGGGTCTCGAAAACGAACGTTCACGCTTCCAGCAACGCCTAAAGCCGTAACCGCTGTCGCCAAATCTTTTGCGTTCGCTATGCCTGATATCAAGCCTATCTCAAAGCCAAACAGCTATAATTTAAAACTCATGAAAGCATTCACAGCGATATTGCCCGTTGAGATGCACACGAGATGCTGCAGCTCTGGTGTGGTATCAACAGCAGCACGTAGTACCACAAGTGTAGCAAGATGCTTCACCAGTTAATAAGTTCGGCTGTTGTGCACGCCAATAGGTTGCTACCCGACACCTCTAGCTTATAACCGAACGGAGCGCGCATTGCAAGCGGAGATAACCAGCGCTTGTGTTGGTTACCGCCGTATTTGCGCTGCAAAAAAGTCACGAGCCACGTATATCCGCCTGCCGTCAACTCACGAGCTACCAAGACATTATCAATTGTAGATAGAGCTACGAGTGCCGCTTGCATATTAGCAGCCAAGATATCGTACGGAAGCTCTGGGCTCCATTGACCGTCAAAGCCTACGCGGAATATACCAGAGAGAAATGTGTTAGGTCCAGCCTTTGGAGCTGAGACCGTTATTGTAGCAACATCTTCTGTCACGCTCTGCGATGCCGCCTCAACTGCGTGTACCACTGCACACGGTTTTTCTGCGGTTGAAATAGCACCGTGCAACTACCACTCGACACGGAACTCGGTCACGGGCTCTCCAATATCGTGTATGGGTGCGTCCCATTAAACAAGAAGCTGGGACAAAACATCAGTGGTTGCTAGACGCACTGGACCAGGTACCTGTTCTACAAGTTGAAGTGATGTCGGCAGTGGTAAGGCTGTGCCACCTTATCCATCTTCATTATGAGATCGCACGCGCGTGTAAATCGGAACACCACCGCCACTTGTCAGCAAATTTGTGGCAAGCTCAAGACGTTGGAAACGGGTGATGATGTTCTACGGTGACTGCACAGCTTGCAGCGCGTGGCCATTAGCTGCTAGTGCAAAAAATACACTTGACTGAATATATTTTTCTGACCCAGCAAACTCAACAAACGTAATACGCCAGTCGTAGCCGGGTTTGTTTACTTGACGCGAAACGTCAGCGTTGCTTACAGCTCTAAGGGTCTCTAGCGCAGCCTTGACATCTGCGTCACTGGCATCGAACGAGATGGCAGGAGTTGTGGGGGCTTGATGAATGGTCACAAAGCCATCATGATCACAATAAACGGCTAGAACCACCCCCGAACTGCCAGCATATCCACTACAGCCATTAATTCCCACATCAAAAATCTGTTGTGTCGACATCCTGCCACGTACTTGTACCCCCGTGAATTCCACTGTCTTCGACCGTCACACGAGCTCCTGACGTCTCAGTGATAGCACGTTTCACACGGACTTCGTCGATTCCAGCAAAGTTTTCGAGTTCTCGTTCTGATGGTAGCTTATCTCGAGCTGCGTCACTTGCAAGTGGACCAGATGCCCACACTAAGCACCCAACATCATCATTTAAGAAAGCACCTCCGTTGCCACCTGTGCCTAGAACACAGGAGCTTATTTCGTTACCAAACTGAGCTCGATATCCTCCAACATTATAGGTTACACTGGGACCCGTGACTGTCAAAACGATTCGCTGAATGTCGCGCGTGAATCCTCCATGGAGAAGATCAAGTCTTGGTACTAGACTGACCGCAACCGTCGAATCTTTCAAACGTCCAAGCTGTAGACGAGCTGTTGCGAACCGCACACAATCGCATCCGTTTGTGTCACACTTGCCACGTATGCGAGACGTCGCCAATGCTTCAAGGGCTTCGTCGTCTTGTCTATCATTATATGCTCCGCCCAGACGAATATAGTCACCGCAATTTATTGTCACCTCCTTCATCAGCTTCATCTCTGCACTGCTTGCAATTGAGCCAAGGTCAGTAGCTGTACTCACATACGAAAAACTGGCAATGGCTCGCGTCCTCCTGACGCATCGAGATTAGCAAGAAGCGAAGCAATACTTGACGCACTTAATACTTTCCAAAGATCTTGCCGCTCGCACAACGGCAGCAACGCCAGTTCTCGATGTACGTAGATGTTTGGATTTCCCGTCCCCAACTTGGTTGCAGCTTCGACACATTGATGGTCCAGCGTCAATGTTGTCATTGTTACTGCCGTCAACTGGGTACGACACGTCGCTGCACTCTCGAGCGTTGATCCATTGGAAATCCAGGTGTTTGCCGCAATGACATCCACCAGACGATTATCAAGAGACGTCGACAAGGAAATTGTTGCCGTTATCGTATCGTACGAGAACAAGTGATTGGAGCAACGCCTTTAACCACGAAGATGGACATATCATTTGCAAGCTTCACTCCTGGATCACTCGAACATCCACATGCAGATGGTCAGCGCTCACCGACGTAACAACAGCCTGACAGGCTGCCGGGTCTGCTGGACCTGCTGCAGTTATACCAACTGTGAGCTGGGTACCTAAATTCACCACAGACTGAAGGGCTAAGCTTAGTGGAGCCGAGAGCGTGATAATTGTCCCTGTGTATCCAGCAACTGTGAGCCCCGTATCAGTTTTATAAAGCTGCCACGCCACGTTGCTGTCGAGACAAACTGTTACTTGCTCATTTTGAATACGCACTCTTTCACCATTAGAGAATATGTCGTGAAGCGAGGCAGATCCAGCTGCAAGCGCTTGTGCTGATGCTAATGCGTCTCCTTGATGCGTCATTCTGCCATGAAATAATCGTGTATTAACTGCAGCTAATGAGAAGGAGCTACCTGCAAGGAAAGGGCCAGTAAGTGCGGAAGTAGAGACACGTGCGAACTAGATGGCGTGGTGAATTGCGAATTGAGTTCAGCCTCGATACGGTAACCGTCGACATCAAGTCCTCCAGAAGCCCGCATTTGATCAAACGAGAACTCTAAACGCTGAGGCGAGAGCGGACGAGCTAAGACATAAGCTATTGCTTGGTAGGTGCTGCACCAAATGCCGAAGTAAACGCACCAGCTCCACGGTCATTGATTCCAGCCACCCGCACAAAATATTTTCTGCCAGTGTCGAGGTGACAGATGCTGTAGTTATAAAGACCATGATCAACTGATGTTTTTTTAGCGCTTAAAAAGAGCTGATCCAAAAGCTTGTGGCTTCTGTCCGGCTGCAACCAGAGTGACGCCGACATTTACATCAGCTCCAGCACCGTTCGGAGTCAATAGTCGATCGTTTACTGTAAGAAGTGGAGACGTCGGGCTAGTTTGTGGAACCTGTGACGTGAAGGTGACAGTCGATTCGTACTTGTATGCACCAGCTGAAAGATGCTCTACACTGACTAATCTCACACTTGGCAGCAGTTCCAAAGCTATCTGCATGTCGGATGGCATGACATCCATAGGCAACGGTGTCGTACGCCATTGAGTGCAAAGTTTGGCACCAGCCAATGTATGTCGTTGGTGTTGTACCCAGCACATTGGTAAGTGTACCAAGAGATTGATAATTCGACGCGTGAGCTAGATTAAGCTCCGAGCTTGTGAATGATCCGAGTGCCGATACCAAATACGCCTGCTGGTGAAGAAACACGACGTTACTGGGTGATAGTAGTCCAGTTAGGTCCTCACTTGTCTTGAAAAACGTGCACCATGTTCAGCGTCCACAAATCCTGGTAACAAACGCCATTAATACAGATCACTATCGTCTCCGAACGACAAGGTGAAATATCCTCCAGTTATCGTTCCTGTTGATCTAACAAGTTGCATCACTGGAGCTCCAAACAGCGACCCTGTCACGGCTTGCTGTACCACTCTATTTGATATCTAAGCACGTCAGCAGAGGCTTGAGACCACGACACGATCAAAGCTGTTCCTTGAGGTTTGGCTCGACGATCGTTGGTAACAATCACAATATTCTGTGCACCTGGCTTTCGTCGAGGCATCTCCCGGGCTCAGCACTGGCGCACTGGCTCCCATCTGGCTATTTACTGCGAACATCCGCACATGGATCAATTATCGATTGGGAGTCCTTTAAGAGTAAACCGATACGCGCCATCGACGGCCACAACAAGAGAAGAGATTGGTAAATTCACTTGATTCAGAGCGTCACCATTCGAGTCAGTATCAAACTGATAAATCCCATTCAATTATAAAGCTACTTACTGGTGCTCCTCCTCAGAATTAGGGAGCGGCGGTGCTAGCATATTAAATGGTGATCGTGGAGCTGATGGAGGCTCAAATGGTACACTTAAGGATCGTGGGTCAGTACCTCGTCTCGGTCCATAACCTATGGCATTGTAAGCTGCAACTCGGGTGTAGTGGGTGTTACCGGGCGTAAGTCCCTTGATAATGTACTCATATGGAACCGGCGTCGTATTTGCGTCTATAATGACCACGCCACAATTTGTTCTCTCACTGACTAATATGTGGTTGACAGCTGAGGGACAATGTGTGGCTCCGTTTTGACTTCCCATTTGAACCCCCTGCAGTAACATGAAGAGTTACTTTGCCGCCTACGGCATATAGGCGACCAGTGTACGTCAATAGTGGCATGACGCCGAGCTCAATTAAAAACGTGACGGTCCACGTGCATTGATTCTTGATCGTACAGCCATCGCGTGTCACTGTCACGTCGCTCACGTAATTTTTTCAATTCTTGTGTCATCGTATCTTGTGAAGTGGAAGCGCTCAATGCGGATGTGCTGTACATACCTTGAAAAGAACACAACGTGCACGTAGTCGTGTCAAGTATTAAGACGATCGAACCAGCAACACTCCCACTAGAATCTGACGCTGTCTTGATTGTTTGAATCTGGGCAATGATGCTAGGTATCGATCCACTCTACAAGTAATTTAGTCTCAGGCGAACCACCTCCACCGCTTACATCTAATAATGACTTCGCAAGTGACAGAAAAGATAACGCAATGAACTGACGCGCAAATCGGGATCTTCCTCGTCGTAGCGCACTTAAAGTAACATATGGAGACGGCGGGGTC